CCCCGAGGATAGTCTCCCCTTGCTGTTGCTGTGCCATATTACCTACCGCCCCAAGAATAGTCTCCCCTTGCTGTGCCATATATACCTACCGCCCTGATAGTCTCCCCTTGCTGTTGCTGTGCCATATTACCTACCGCCCCGAGGATAGTCTCCCCTTGCTGTTGCTGTGCCATATTACCTACCGCCCCGAGGATAGTCTCCCCTTGCTGTTGCTGTGCCATATTACCTACCGCCCCGAGGATAGTCTCCCCTTGCTGTTGCTGTGCCATATTACCTACCGCCCCGAGGATAGTCTCCCCTTGCTGTGCCATATTACCTACCGCCCGAGGATAGTCTCCCCTTGCTGTGCCATATTACCTACCGCCCCGAGGATAGTCTCCCCCTTGCTGTGCCATATTACCTACCGCCCCGAGGATAGTCTCCCCCCTTGCTGTGCCATATTACCTACCGCCCCGAGGATAGTCTCCCCTTGCTGTGCCATATTACTACCGCCCCGAGGATAGTCTCCCCTTGCTGTGCCATATTATCTACCGCCCCGAGGATAGTCTCCCCTTGCTGTGCCATATTACCTACCGCCCCGAGGATAGTCTCCCCTTGCTGTGCCATATTACCTACCGCCCCAAGGATAGTCTCCCCTTGCTGTGCCATATTATCTACCGCCCCGAGGATAGTCTCCCCTTGCTGTGCCATATTACCTACCGCCCCGAGGATAGTCTCCCCTTGCTGTTGCTGTGCCATATTACCTACCGCCCCAAGAATAGTCTCCCCTTGCTGTGCCATATTACCTACCGCCCTGATAGTCTCCCCTTGCTGTTGCTGTGCCATATTACCTACCGCCCCGAGGATAGTCTCCCTTGCTGTTGCTGTGCCATATTACCTACCGCCCCGAGGATAGTCTCCCCTTGCTGTTGCTGTGCCATATTACCTACCGCCCCGAGGATAGTCTCCCCTTGCTGTTGCTGTGCCATATTACCTACCGCCCCGAGGATAGTCTCCCCTTGCTGTGCCATATTACCTACCGCCCCGAGGATAGTCTCCCCTTGCTGTGCCATATTACCTACCGCCCCGAGGATAGTCTCCCCTTGCTGTGCCATATTACCTACCGCCCCGAGGATAGTCTCCCCTTGCTGTGCCATATTACCTACCGCCCCGAGGATAGTCTCCCCTTGCTGTGCCATATTACCTACCGCCCCGAGGATAGTCTCCCCTTGCTGTTGCTGTGCCATATTACCTACCGCCCCGAGGATAGTCTCCCCTTGCTGTGCCATATTACCTACCGCCCCGAGGATAGTCTCCCCTTGCTGTGCCATATTACCTACCACCCCGAGGATAGTCTCCCCTTGCTGTGCCATATTACCTACCGCCCCGAGGATAGTCTCCCTTGCTGTTGCTGTGCCATATTACCTACCGCCCCGAGGATAGTCTCCCCTTGCTGTGCCATATTACCTACCGCCCCGAGGATAGTCTCCCCTTGCTGTGCCATATTACCTACCGCCCCGAGGATAGTCTCCCCTGCTGCTGCTGCCATATTACCTACCGCCCCGAGGATAGTCTCCCCTTGCTGTTGCTGTGCCATATTACCTACCGCCCTGAGGACAGTCTCCCCTTGCTGTTGCTGTGCCATATTACCTACCGCCCCGAGGATAGTCTCCCCCCTTGCTGTGCCATATTACCTACCCCCCGAGGATAGTCTCCCCTTGCTGTTGCTGTGCCATATTACCTACCGCCCCGAGGATAGTCTCCCCGAACTGTGCCATATTACCTACCACCCCGAGGATAGTCTCCTCTTGCTGTGCCATATTACCTACCGCCCTGAGGACAGTCTCCCCTTGCTGTTGCTGTGCCATATTACCTACCGCCCCGAGGATAGTCTCCCCTTGCTGTGCCATATTACCTACCGCCCCAAGAATAGTCTCCCCTTGCTATGCCATATTACCTACCGCCCTGATAGTCTCCCCTTGCTGTTGCTGTGCCCTATTACCTACCGCCCGAGGATAGTCTCCCCTTGCTGTGCCATATTACCTACCGCCCCGAGGATAGTCTCCCCTTGCTGTGCCATATAACCTACCGCCCCGAGGATAGTCTCCCCTTGCTGTGCCATATTACCTACCGCCCCGAGGATAGTCTCCCCTTGCTGTGCCATATTATCTACCGCCCCGAGGATAGTCTCCCCTTGCTGTGCCATATTACCTACCGCCCCGAGGATAGTGTCCCCTTGCTGTTGCTGTGCCATATTACCTACCGCCCTGAGGACAGTCTCCCCTTGCTGTTGCTGTGCCATATTACCTACCGCCCCGAGGATAGTCTCTCCTTGCTGTTGCTGCTGTGCCCTATTACCTACCGCCCCGAGGATAGTCTCCCCTTGCTGTTGCTGTGCCCTATTACCTACCGCCCCGAGGATAGTCTCCCCTTGCTGTGCCATATTATCTACCGCCCAGAGGATAGTCTCCCCTTGCTGTGCCATATTACCTACCGCCCCGAGGATAGTCTCCCCTTGCTGTGCCATATAACCTACCGCCCCGAGGATAGTCTCCCCTTGCTGTGCCATATTACCTACCGCCCCGAGCATAGTGTCCCCTTGCTGTTGCTGTGCCATATTACCTACCGCCCTGAGGACAGTCTCCCCTTGCTGTTGCTGTGCCATATTACCTACCGCCCCGAGGATAGTCTCTCCTTGCTGTGCCATATTACCTACCGCCCCGAGGATAGTCTCCCCTTGCTGTTGCTGTGCCATATTACCTACCGCCCTGAGGACAGTCTCCCCTTGCTGTTGCTGTGCCATATTACCTACCGCCCGGAGGATAGTCTCCCCTTGCTGTGCCATATTACCTACCGCCCCAAGAATAGTCTCCCCTTGCTATGCCATATTACCTACCGCCCTGATAGTCGCCCCTTGCTGTTGCTGTGCCATATTACCTACCGCCCCGAGAATAGTCTCCCTTTGCTGTGCCATATTACCTACCGCCCCAAGGATAGCTCCCCTTGCCATGCCCAATCGTTGCCCAGTGGACAGTTTCCTTTTGCCGTGCCAGACATCTAACCCTTGCTGTACCACACTACTGCCCTGAGGATCACCTCCTCTTGCCATGCCTAATTGTTGCCCTGTGGACAGTTTCCCTATTGCTGTGCCATAAATCCCCTCCATGGACACCTAACCCTTGCTGTACCACACTACCGCCTTTCCCATAATAGCTGCCCAGTGGACAGTTTTCCTATCGCTGTGCCAGACCACCTCCCTGAGGATCACCTCCCCTTGCTGTGCCACATCACCTCCCTGAGGATCACCTCCCTTACCAAGCCTAATTGTTGCCCAGTGGACGGTTTTCCCTATCGCTGTGTCATATTTACTCCATAGACACCTAACTCTTGCTGTACCACACCACCTCCCTGAGGATCACCTCCCCTTCCTGTTCCAAACCACCTCCCTGAGGATCACCTCCTTTCCTGTTCCACACCACCTCCCTGAGGATCACCTCCCCTTCCTGTTCCACACCACCTCCCTGAGGATCACCTCCCTTCCTGTTCCACACCACCTCCCTGAGGATCACCTCCCCTTCCTGTTCCACACCACCTCCCTGAGGATCACCTCCCTTCCTGTTCCACACCACCTCCCTGAGGATCACCTCCCCTTCCTGTTCCACACCACCTCCCTGAGGATCACCTCCCTTCCTGTTCCACACCGCCTCCCTGAGGATCACCTCCCCTTCCTGTGCCACACCACTTCCCTGAGGATCACCTCCCCTTCCTGTGCCACACCGCCTCCCTGAGGATGACCTCCCCTTCCTGTGCCACACCGCCTCCCTGAGGATGACCTCCCCTTCGTGTGCCACACCGCCTCCCTGAGGATGACCTCCCCTTCCTGTGCCCACACCGCCTCCCTGAGGATCACCTCCCCTTCCTGTGCCACACCACATCCCTGAGGATCACCTCCCCTCGCTGTGCACACACCGCCTCCCCGAGGATCACCTCCCCTTCCTGAACCACACCACCTCCCCCAGGATAACCTCCCTTTGCCATGCCTAACCGTTACTGTACCACACCACGCATCTCCAAGAAACAGAAGAAGCCTAATAAACTCCATCAATGAATGGAACGGGACCTTTGCCAGGATGTACCCCACTATACAACGTACTGGTTGTTCTATGGACTAAAAAGAGTTCCGCACGTTACAAGCTGCCGTATATTTGCCCCCCCCCCCAAAAAAAAGTCTGCCGTCGCGTCTTCTCTCCAGATAGACTTACGTGATCTGTAAAACATTCACCACAATCTGAAAGTTGTTGGGATGCTCCGAGCTGTGTTTGGTCATGTGTGCAAGAAGCGATTGTTTCTTCGTGAAACATTTCCCGCACTCTGTGCATAAATAGGGGCGCTCGCTTGAGTGACGCCTCTGGTGGCTAACAAGGTTTTTTTTCGTGGTGAAACACTTCCCGCACTCCGAACACGCATAAGGACGGTCCCCCGAGTGGATTTTCTGGTGGGAAACAAGGCTCTCTTTGATGGTGAAACACTTCCCGCACTCTGAGCACGAATAAGGACGCTCGCCCGAGTGGATTCTCTGGTGTCTAACAAGGGCTCCTTTTTTGGTGAAACACTTCCCGCACTCCGAACATGAATAAGGACGCTCTCCTGAATGAATCCTCTGGTGGTGAACCAGATTTTCTTTCGTGGTCAAACACTTCCCGCACTCTGAACAGGGATAAGGACGCTCGCCTGAGTGAACTCTCTGGTGATTAATAAGATTTTCTTTCGAGGTCAAACACTTCCCGCACTCTGGACATGAAAAAGGATGCTCACCTGAGTGATTTGTCTGGTGTAGAAGAAGCTGCTTCTTCTGGAAAAAACTTTTTCCACACTCCGAACATGAATAGGGACGCTCGCCGGTGTGCTTCCTTTGGTGTTTATGAAGATTTCCTTGGTCAGAAAAACATTTCCCGCACTCTGAACAGGAAAAGGGACGCTCGCCCGTATGAATTCTCTGGTGTTTACGAAGGTTTCCTTGGTCAGAAAAACATTTTCCACACTCCAAACAGGAGAAGGGGCGCTCGCCCCGTGTGTCTTCTCTGATGTGTAAGAAGGGATCCTTTCTTGGAAAAACTTTTCCCACAATCCGAACACGAATAGGGACGCTCGCCGGTATGATTTCTTTGGTGTTTCAGAAGGTACCCTTTGTCAGAAAAACATTTTCCGCACTCTGAACAGGAAAAGGGGCGCTCACCTGTATGAATTCTCTGGTGGGTAAGAAGGGATCCTTTGCCATAAAAACATTTCCCGCACTCTAAACAGGAATAGGGACGCTCTCCCCTATGAAACCTCTGGTGTGCAAGAAGGGTTCCTTTCCTAGGAAAACTCTTCCCGCATTCCAAACATGAATAGGGACGCTCACCAGTGTGAGTTCTTCGGTGTTTAATGAGGCATCCTTTTTGAGAAAAACGTTTCCCGCACTCTGAACAGCAAAAGGGACGCTCACCGGTGTGAGTTCTCTGATGCGAAACAAGGTTTTTTTTCCCGGGAAAACATTTTCCGCACTCCGAGCAGCAAAAGGGACGCTCGCCTGTGTGAACTCTCTGGTGTAAAACAAGGCTTTCCTTCTTAGAATAACATTTTCCGCACTCCGAACAGGAATGAGGACGCTCAGCCTTGTGAGTTTTCACGTGTCCTAGCAGTCCTTTCCTCTTAGCGAATGTTTTCCCGCACAACAAACATGACAATGAGCTCCCTCCTGTGTGAGCTCCCTCATGGCTTGAAGAAGATTTCTGGGGATTGGATGGATCTGCTGATCTGTCAGCACTGTGAGAACTTAGATGGACATCTGAAGTCATAGTATGGGATCTATCAGAAGATTCCTTAGTTTTAGAAGGATCTATTGATCTTAGATGGACATCTGAAGTCATAGTATGGGATCTATCAGAAGATTACCTCTGGTTTTAGAAGGATCCATTGATAGTTGCCAACTGAAGTCATAGTATGGGACATCAGAAGAAGATTAGAAGGATCCTGCCTCTTTAATGTTCTAGAGAAGATTCCACCCTAATTGTCACACACCACATCATCCTTCACACATTGCTGATCACCCATCACATACGTCTCTTCTTCTTCCTCCTTCACCTCAGCTTTTATATCAATCAGTTCTTCACCCTAAAACCAGAAAAAGATAGCAAGGAACATCCTCAAAACATAAGAACCCGGAGATCTCAGAGAGGAATATCTCATACAGTTTGGAATAATATTTAAGACATAGATGTTCCAACTCCACCTACCTGATGATGGTGAGGGACGGTGTGATCTTCCTGTGTGGAATCTCGGGAATACAGAGGATGGGGGGGACATCTCTCTGGTGGGTTTCTGTAGCTGGAGGACTCCACCATGGTGTCCTGGTACAGATCTTTGGGAAACTCTGACTCCTCCATCCCCCCATCCTCCTCCTCTTTTATCTCTTCTTTAACTTCAACTTTACAATCTCTCAGGTTTCCACTCTGAATATATAATAAAAATGACATCAGTGGTAACAATGCAGATAATGTACAGATCCTAATGATACTATCAGTGATTGTTCCTCATCTACCTGATGATGGTGAGGAATGGTGTGACCTTCCTGTGTGGAATCCCGGGAATACAGAGGACGGGGAAATCTCTCTGGTGGGTTCCCATAACTGGATCCATCTACCTGATGATGGTGAGGGATGGTGTGACCTTCCTGTGTGGAATCCCGGGAATACAGAGGACGGGGACATCTTTCTGGTAGGTTCCCATGACTGGATCCATCTGTAGGAAACACACACACTGACTGAATCCATTGATTCTATGTGTTTATCAGATGATGGGGGATCTAGGTGGACTCTCCGTTCTGCTCTCTCCTTTTTAATAAAGTCTCCTCTTACCCGGTGATGTGAGGGGAGGCTGATTGTCCATCATGACGTCCTTGTAGAGATCCTTGTGTCCTTCTAAAGATGGATCATGAGATTGGCAGCTGGTTTTCAACTTTCCAGATGTCTTCTTCACATTTATCCTCTGCAAAATTAAATCATCACTAAGTACAATTACCAAATTCTCCTCACCTCTCCGGTCAGGTCCGTGTTTTATTAAAAGAGATAGGAGTGATGTCATGTGACCTCCCAGAATCCTCCTCACCTCTCCGGTCAGGTCCGTGTTTTATTAAAAGAGATAGGAGTGATGTCATGTGACCTCCCAGAATCCTCCTCACCTCTCCGGTCAGGTCTGTGTTTTATTAATAGAGATAGGATTGATGTCATGTGACCTGCTAGAATCCTCCTCACCTCTCCGGTCAGGTCTGTGTTTTATTAATAGAGATAAGAGTGATGTCATGTTACCTCCCAGAATCCTCCTCACCTCTCCAGGTAATACCCTCCAACTGTGTCCGTCTTCCCCATATTGGCACTATATGTTCCTTAAAGTATGCTGTAAGCAGATCTGTATTTGCGTTGTGAGTAGAGTGGGACTGGCCAGAGATGGATGACTTTGGTGAAGTTGGTCAGCTTGAACACGTATTGCATGAATTACAATATTCCCAAAATATAGTTGCTACAACCTTCTCGATCTCCTACAGTCCAGCTTCACCCGCAACTTTCCACTGAAACTGCTCTAATATAACTCACCAATGACCAACTAACTGCTAAATCCAACGGACAGTACTCCATACTCAGAAAGGTAGAGCTTTTCTGCTGCCTTTGACACAGTTGACCACCCGCTCTTCCTCAGTAAACTCCACTCACTTGGCCTCCGTGACTCTGCTCTTTCCTGGTTCTCTGGGTGTACAGTTGGATAAATGGTTCTATATTTAGGACGTATCCAGTCTATAAACCAGAGGCTCTGGATGGACGGTTGGATAAATGGTTCTATATTTAGGAGGTATCCGGTCTATAAACCAGAGGCTCTGGATGGACGGTTGGATAAATGGTTCTATATTTAGGACGTATCCGGTCTATAAACCAGAGGCTCTGGATGGACGGTTGGATAAATGGTTCTATATTTAGGATGTATCCGGTCTATAAACCAGAGGCTCTGGATGGACGGTTGGATAAATGGTTCTATATTTAGGACGTATCCAGTCTATAAACCAGAGGCTCTGGATGGACGGTTGGATAAATGGTTCTATATTTAGGAGGTATCCGGTCTATAAACCAGAGGCTCTGGATGGACGGTTGGATAAATGGTCTATATTTAGGACGTATCCAGTCTATAAACCAGAGGCTCCGGATGGACGGTTGGATAAATGGCTCTATATTTAGGAGGTATCCGGTCTATAAACCAGAGGCTCCGGATGGACGGTTGGATAAATGGTTCTGTATTTAGGACGTATCCGGTCTATAAACCAGAGGCTCTGGATGGACGGTTGGATAAATGGTTCTATATTTAGGATGTATCCGGTCTATAAACCAGAAGCTCTGGATGGACGGTTGGATAAATGGTTCTATATTTAGGATGTATCCGGTCTATAAACCAGAGGCACTGGAAGTTGGAGATAAAAGACATCACGGTGGAGGAAGAGGACGGACATGACGGGGGGTTACTGGGTGTAAAAATAATATATATAATAATAATAAGATCTTATTACCTCCTCCGTGTAATCCAGCGACGTCTCCTCTCCACCTCGTTCTTCTCTCCCAGAACTTCCCGTCTTCACCTTATAGAATGGCTTGTCTTTGTCTTTCGTCACTTCCGGTTCCTACATTACATCACTTCCTGTCTGAGTGGTCCTCTCCCTGTAATATCTCCATCTTGTGGTGAATTCAATTACCGCATCCTACGTTATGTTTCAGCATTCCGCCCTCTGATTTTGAGGGACTGTCCCTGATTTCAAGGAACTGTCCCTGATTTTGAGGGACTGTCCCTGGTTTGGAACAAAGTCCCCCTGTCTATCTTTCCTCTTCGTTTGTCCCTTGTTTTGGTCTGATCTGTATAGTTGTCTAGAAAATGCACTATTTATCTTTCAAAAAGAGTTTCCCATTCTAAACCTTTCATCCATTTTTTAAATTGCTGCATTTGTAAACTTCAAAAGCCGGTATAAAGGAATAGTGATTGAAAAAAATCAATTGTGGGTCTAACTAATCTTTTTTTTTTTGTATAATTCTTCTTGTAACGGGGCGTGGTGGGGGATGTCCTATGCCTACCTACATTTGCTAATAGGTGTCCCTCATTCCCATCTGAAAAAGTCTGGAGGTATGTACTCCGCATTCATGTAACAGCTCTCTACTCTTTGGTTTTCCCGCACAGCAATGGCTTTCCAGTGGTTCAGATTCCCTCTTTGGGTCGGTCCCCACAGAGGGGTCCTCCCACTCTCTCTTCCTGCACTGCACTGTCTCCTTGGATGAATTTTTTTGACCAGGAAAATCCTGCTCTCTCCTTCTGACAGCCAGGCTTGGTGGGGGCTGTAGTTCAGGCACTATTTTTCCCAAAGGGCAGAGCTTTCTAGGGGACTACACGTTCCATCATCCTCCCTCTATTCTTTACTGGTTGGTCCCTCCACCACTTATCAGTGGGGAGGATGAGCGAGGGATCATGCAGACACATGTAGCCCTCTGCTAGGGAATGAGGGATCACATATGGAAGCAGGTTACCTGATCTTCAGCTGTTTACTGCCACTCTATACGCCGGCTGTGGAGGGGGGGGGGGGAATATGACGTTATATTGAGGAATGGAGATGGACCTTTCATATGGTGTCCAGTATCTCCTCATTTGTTGGGAACATGACGTTATATTGAGGAATGGAGATGGACCTTTCATATGGTGTCCAGTATCTCCTCATTTGTTGGGAACATGACGTTATATTGAGGAATGGAGATGGACCTTTCATATGGTGTCCAGTATCTCCTCCTCATTTGTTGGGAACATGACGTTATATTGAGGAATGGAGATGGACCTTTCATATGGTGTACAGCAGGGCTTCAAATTTCGAGTCTAGACCTACTAGCCAGGCACAAACCTTACTCTCCACCAGTTGCCCCACCCAACCTTGCCCATGTCCGCCTCCTACCCCACCCCCAGCCCTGTCCCCAACCACATCCCCTTAAAGCTTATGAAATAAAATTTTTCCTTAGAATAAAGAGTCCAAAATATAAAACTATATACAATAATGTATATCCCAGCTCCCCTGTACTCCATTATGGTGATATGACATGTATAAAACTTACTCCTCGAGTCCCCTGCAGCGGTGGAGAGGATGTCTCCTCTCAGCGGAGGAGAGCGGACCTCTCCTGCACCTGTCCCCTCAGCGGCGGTGCCGAAGAAGCGGAAACCAGAACTCGGAAACTGGAACTCATCTTCACAATGAGGCTTAGAGCGCAGCCGCTCCATCATCTGTGCTCGCCGCTAGAGAATTTCTCCTCGCATTTGGCAAGCGGGCGAGTGGCTTTTTCAAGCCCTGGTGTCCAGTATCTCCAACTCTTTTGTTGGGAACATGACATTATATTGATGAATGGAGATGGACCTTTCATATGGTGTCCAGTATCTCATTTGTTGGGAACATGACGCTATATTGAGGAATGGAGATGGACCTTTCATATGGTGTCCAGTATCTCCTCCTTATTTGTTGGG